GGAAGGAAGGAAGGAAGGAAGGAAGGAAGGAAGGAAGGAAGGAAGGAGAACAAAAATGGTGGAAGGAAGGAAGGAAGGAATAGAGAAGGAAGGAAGGAGAACAAGAAGGGAAGGAGGGAAGGAAGGAGGAAGAAAGGAAAGAATAAAGGAAGGAAGGAAGAACAAGAATAGAGGAAGAAAGGAAGGAATAAAGAAGGAAGGAAGGAGAACAAGAATGCTGGAAGGAAGGAAGGAATTTTAAACATCCTTAAATTTAGGTGGATTTAATGACTTGCAAGTCAACTGGCTGGAAATTTAAACACGGTATTCACTGGCTTCTTGAATTTCTGGAAATTATTTCTTTCTTTGCAGAAGTATCTCCTGCGTACCTTTCCCCAAATCACCTGACATTCTGCAATAAGCAGGATTTGGTAGCCCTTAAAAATCTTGGCCCGAGGCCCATCTTCTTAACAACCTTGGAAATACCAGCTTGTTTTTTCTCTCCGCCTCTTGTTCTTCCAAAACAGGCAACCCCCACCCCCACCCTCAGGCAAAACTCCCCATGGATTTTGCCGTAAGCAGTATCTGTTGGTGTTGGGGAGAGAAGTCTAGCTGCTTCAATACATTGCCAGCATGAGAGAGAGAGAGAGAGAGAGAGAGATTGGTGAGTCCCTGAAACTATTGCTGTAAGAAGAAAAGTTTGGACATCAACTTTGGCACCACAATAGAAGCGGCGTCAGTTGTTGCAAGCCCGTCTTCAGGGTGTAACATTTCTGGATTGATGTAACCTGGTGTAGATAATCCAACGGATGCCGAATGGCCAGAGAGGTAAACAAAATCGAAAATGATTTGATAATTTGTTTCATCTGTCCTCCTGTCCTCTCATTAAGAAAGGCCTGTGTGGGAGAGGGGTTGGCACGCCCCTCTCCCACCCCGTACGAGGTCAGGAGGAGTGTATAAAAGGACTTGAAACACAAGACTTCGCACAGTAAGCATCCACCTTCCGATCACCTTCTCCATTCTGTTTCTCCGAGAACCAGGTAAGCTAAATTCAAATCCCTCCCTTCTGCAGGAGTTGGGTTGGCTTTCTCCATGTCTCTGTTTGCTCCATCGTCCATGGAGTTCTGGCTGTGTGCATCTCTCCTGCGCCATGAATATTTTTATGGTAGGGTTTAAGAGGTTTACCTGGGACCTCTTGTGAAGAACATCAAGAGATCCCAGGTGGGTTGGATCCGAAGTCTCTCCAGGAGGCTGCATTTGGAGGCTTCAAGATCTCAAGATCTTTTCAGTCCCACTTGTTGTATCTCTGATTTCATCCCTCAAATCAAACCAGATCAAGCTTTATCATGGTCCATGGGTCATAGTTTTGCCTTTGTGCATTTCTCCTGCCCATGAAATTTATATGGCGGGGATTAAGAGGTTCTAGGTCCTAGTGAAGAACATCAAGAGATCCCAGGTGGGTTGGATCCGAAGTCTTTCCAGAAAAAGAGAAGAAGGGAGGAGAACCGATGAAGGAAAAGGAGGAGGATTTGTGGGATCCTTGGAGTTGTTTGAGCTTGGTTCTTTCCTTGCCAACATTTCATGACCCAACTAGGGAACATCATTAGTGCTAGAAGGGAGTAGGGTTTGCAAGGAAGAGAAGGAGAAGAGGAAGAAGGAAGGAGAACAAATGAAGGGAAAAAAGGAGGAGGAGGAGGAGAAGAAGAACTGAGGAAGGATTCCTTGATGTTCTCTAGCATGGTTGTTTCCTTGCAGACATTTCATGACCCAACTAGAGGACATCATCTGTACTAGAAGGGAGTGGGGTTTGCTCTGTATTTGTACAGTGGGAGTGGGAGTTTGGTTTTTCTCCTCGATTAGGTTGTTAATCCTCTAACTTCCCTTCCCATTTTAAGTAACAAACCCATTCCTACTTCTCACCCTTTCCACCTTGGTCTTAACTGCTCTCTCTCTCTCTCTCTCTTTTTGGTATCATCTGCCTTCCAGAACACTCCCAAGATGTCTTATTGTGGGTCCGTCTGCCATGTGCCTTATGCTTCCAATAGCGGATCCTGTGCGCTGGTCTCATCGTATGGATCCGGCACCCTCACCGGTCTTGCCGCCAACTACTACACAGGGGGCCACGTCAATTGTTCCAGCCAACTCACCGGATCGGAACTCATCATCCAACCTCCGGCCTCAGTGGTGTCCATCCCAGGTCCCATTATATCCTCCACTCACGATCCAGTCTCTGTGGGCCAGGTGACACCATGTAGCTACACTCACCCGCTGAACTCCTACGGGGCGTACGGCCGGCTTGGATACTGGGGCTATGGGAACTACGGGAACTACGGAAACTACGGAGGTTGGAGAAGGTACAGCCGCAAATGCCTGACGTACAACTGAGAACTTTGTGAAGGGTTGACTTCCCACGATGTGGAACCACCTGGAAAGGAAAACGAGATCTCCATTTTGGTCTGTTGTGTTGTTCTCGGTGTACGTGATGCTTGCTAAGTTCTTCCGGCCCCATCCTTTCCAGTTTGCGCCGAAGGTAGAGATGGTGTGCTACTAAAGCTGGAAAGTTCTCTCCCCATTTTTTGCTCCTCCTTTACTCATTTCAAATACACTGTTTTTAACTTTGAATAGCTGTGAAAAAAAAAAAAAAAACCAACAGAACAACGTTGCTCATTTCTGCCTTGTGTACATTATTCCTTAGCACATGTATCGCCTTCTGATCTCACACTTTCATAATAAAGCTTATTGCAGCATCATAACTTCTATTTCTCTTTCTCTCTCAATATATATATATATATATATTTAAGGTTGTCTGTCAGAGTGTATATTTGCATATTGATTGAGATGGGTGGCTATAGGAATCCGATAAATTAAATGATCAATCCAGCTATATACAGCCTGATCTCAGATGGAAAAGTATTTCCTTAACAGACATTGGGGGGACCCACTTCAACCTTCTAAATACAAGTAGCCTTTGGCTTATGACCACAACCAAGCCCCAAATTTCTGTTGCTAAGTGAGACATTTGATTAGTGAGTTTTCCCCAGTTCACGGTGGTTGCTAAGTGAACCACTGCCATTGTTAAGTTAGTCGCACAGTTGTTAAGCAAATCCAGCTTCCCCACTGAAGATCAGAGGGTCGCAAAAGAGGATTCCAGGACATTGCAACCGTCATATATCCGGGTCAGTTGCCAAGCATTTGAAGATGTGACTGTGGGGGTGCCACAATGGTCACAAGTGTGAAAAACCCACCGTAAGGTCACTTTTCTCTTTGGCGTTGTGACACTGAATGGTGGCTAAATGAACTGTTGTAAGTCAAGAACTAGAGAGCTTATCTAGAGAGCTTTCTTCCTTTTATCGCTCACAACCCCAGATATCTCAATGTCATTAAAAAAGAAACCGAAGAGACCAACGTTAAGATGCAACGTTTTATTAAGAAGGAAGAGTAAAAGAAACCAGAGAGAACAGATTCTTAAACATGGGCACGGAAAAGAGAAAAGCATAGACAGAGAACACGTTGGACGATTTTCCCTTCGGAGAAATTTCGTGGCGGAGCGAAAACAAGAGTTTCTCTTGCCCCCCAAATGTTGTCTCTCTCATCCTGTGTGGTTCACCAGGAGAAGCACCACAAGCTCAGCTCCCTTTAAAATGTGGGTTGTGCAAAAGAGGCGGTGAATAAACAATAAACAAAAGCACAATCTTTTTTTTTTTAAAAAAGGGGGGAGAGCAAAGAATACATTCAGGCTAAGGAAAGTTGAGGGAGGATGATATGGAGTGAGGAACGTCTAGTAGATGTTTTCCTCAGCACCAAAGGTTCTGCCCTTGTTCCTTGCAGGTCCTCTGTCTTCCCCATCTTTGGACCATCCAGGTGAGTTTAACAGGGGCTATAGCAGATGCTGCCTCGGTTACCGACAAACCCATAACGGGAGCCCAGGCGAGGTTGGCCTCCAAGGCTCAGAGGCAACCCTTGACCGAAACTACCAGCAGGAGCACATGGTGAGTTGCCTCCAACGGCGACGGGGTCACAGCTGGCGGACAGGATGGGACCAGGGATGGTGACCACACAGGCAGGGGGCTGGATGGTCACCTCGGAGGGTGGGATCTGGTTGATGCAGGAGGGGACGATTCCGGCCAAGGTGCCCAGGCTTCCTGAAGGCTCAGCCAAGGAGAAGGGTGAGATGCCCAAGCTTCCGGGGACCAGTCCTCTGAAACCAGCAGATCCGAACCCAATGCTTGGGGTAGAGGCACAAGAGGGGACGGCACAGGATGGTCCACAGAAAGCCATGACGATAGAGATGACCTGAAAGAGCCCAAGAGAAGAACCATGGTTATATTATAATTGAGTAGCGTTGCAACGTCCATGGAGAAGAAACCTGGTCCTGTTCTCCATGGACCAGGTCTGTCTCCATCACCCACCCAAAGAGCAAAGAGAAATTGGGAGAAGACAGTTCTCTTCTTCCAGCAGACTCAACTCAACTCAACTCAACCTTACCTGTCTTGAAAGCTTGGAAGCTGAGAGATTCTGGCGAAGCTGTTAAGAAGACAGTCCAAAGCATGGACTTATATACCCTCAGAGGTCTCCTCCCCCATGGCCTTGATGAGGCCTGAAGCTTTAATGAGGCATTAACAAATTGTATCATCAGCATCACTTATAACAAATTACTTTAATAACCGTGAGGATTCAGGACAAATTTGTTTTCTTTAATAACCCCGTTTCCAATTTCTTAGAAGCTTACATTTGCAAGCTTTGTTCTACTTCCTTCCTTCCTCCCTCCCTCCATCCCTCTGTCCTTCCTTCCTTCCTTCCTTCCTTCCTCCCTCCCTCCC